ATCCTTGATCCTTTTCGCAGTTCATTAAGTCCAAAAATGGTAGAGGCATTGGTATGCACACAAAATTGGTTGAAAGCTTCTCCAAACTTAGATGGTTTCCACATGGAAGACGTTGAGCATTACATCCAGTTAGATGAAGGTAATATATATTTTATATATATATTTTTTGTTATTTTGACTTTATTTCTATGTATTTTGTTGTTAACTAAAGCAAATTTTTTTTTGTAGAATTAGAATCGATAAATTCAAAATTGAATGAAGATGATGAAGGGCAAGTGAGTTAAAAAGTTTTCTGGTATGTCTATAATGTGTATTTAGTTAAAATGTTTCTAGGATGCCAATGTGTTATTGTGGTTCGTTTTATATTTAGAAACTATGATTAGGAATTGCGCTTTGTCCTTATCTTTATTGGTGGCTTCAAAATGCAGGTAAAAACACCGAAGGTGACACTTCACTCAATGAGGAAGACATCAAGGCAATCAAAGATCAAGCCTTAGGATTTTACATAGTTATTGAAGAATATCTCCTTGCACATCCTGATGTCTGCATCTAAATATACTTTTATTTCTTGTTATGTCTCAAATACAAGTGTGATGTCTATATGTATTTCATATTTATGTCTGAAATGTAGTGGGAAGTTCTTAAAACAGAGTGTGTAATTTCTACCTTTGCATTATTAGTTGTTTCTTGTGGTTGTCCTTAGAATTTTACATGGATGTCTGTATTTATTTGTTGGCTTGCTAGTTGCTGTTGCACTTGGTGTCCAGATCTTGCTTGCTAGTTGCTGGGTCCAGCCTTATATTTTTTTAATTACTTTTTCTTAAGTTACTTAAAATAATATTCCAGAATGTCCCCAATCCATTAGTATCCTAACATCTCAGGAGTTTCATGATTTATTTCCTTGAACATAGATCCATCTATTACTAGAAATGATCGGTACAAACCGACCAACCCAACCCAACCCGACCGACAAATAATTGGGTTGGGTTGGGTTTCAACATTTACATGGGTTGGGTTGGGTTGAATTTCGAGCAAACCGACAATGTTGAGTTGAGTTTAGGTTGGGGTAAAAACCGACCCAACCCAACCCAACCCATGCCCACCCCTAGATAAAGCCACTTGTTCATGCTAAAAAAACAAAAACAGTACAAACAGACTAAGTTGGCAATGTATGTGTGGATGTTTTTTTCTTTTATTTTTCAAACTATCCAATAATGTATGAACACGTGTCCCTTCTGTTTTTTAGTCTGTCCTTGAGTCTGTTCATGTAGCATGATTGAAAAGAGAATACATATCAATTTAAAGTTCATGCAATAACTTCTAAAATATATTTTAATCAATTAAAAATATAGCAATTTTTGGACATTAATTTATGTATTAAGCAAAAATTATTAGCCATATGATCGCCTGTAGTGGAGTACAAACATTTAAGACAAAATACATTATTTTCAAATTTTATAATAATATATAG